AGCCACTGCATGAACAATTGGCACAAAAGTCCTTGCAAGTGCTTAGCGAATGCAAGTGCAAGTGTTTAGCGCTTCTTAGAAGAATGACGAAAAATAGCATTGCGAATGCCAGCCTACAACAGAAATAAATTTATTGATAATGACCTAGTGAGTATGAAGCGAGTGTGCTTGCAGTAGTTAACAAATAAGTGTTAGCTACACATTGTTAGCTCCACATGCATTTCTCAGGCTGCATGAATCAGCGGTAAGGCGCTTAGAAATAGCTTTTATTGACCGTTCTGACTTGTTTTGTTTTTTTTTGGAGAATACTGGTCGACATTTTGTATACCCAAATTTTGCTTATACAGCGCTTCTAGATGATTTAGACGTTCAAATTATGCTGTTCCTTTAGTCAGTACAAATAAAAATGCTGTTCAATTACAGTTTGATGATATATTTCAGAAAAATTCAAAACTGATGCCGCTCAATATTTTAGAAGCTATAATAAGAGATTACCTGGCACATACGTCAAAACTAGCAGTCATAGCAACTGATGCGTCACAAAGGGAAGAAAAATGTGGAATCGGTATTTTTTCTCCTGCCCTAGACTGGTCCTTTTCGTTTCGCCTTCCAGATTTTGTGCCCATTTTGGATGCAGAGTTTTTTCCGATAGTTGTAGCTCTGCGTAAAATAGCTGCTTCAGTCAGGTCCGCAGTAATTTTATCGGATTCACTATCAGTACGTTCCTCTCTTACTGCAGATGGGAACTCGCATGCTGAGAGTGCTTTCAAAGCATAAGTTCCGTCGCATCCCAATCTGATCAAATTGGTCGGGGTTGTAGGACATAAGGGAATTAACATAAAAGAAATAGCACATGCGCTGGCACAGTAATCTTTAAATGGGCCTGGTATTGAGGCATTACCGGCATATAAATTCTTGATAGGCACCAGATTAAGAAGGAAACTGCTGTAAAGAATGTTCTACACCGTCACTGACAGTCACACCAGAATTAAAGCACTTTTCGTACCACTGGAATAGTAAAATATGTCAAACACGAGAAACGGAAGTCGTAATCACTATATAGACTGTGCTGTCAAATTACGCAGATAAACTTATACTTAAACAGAGCTGGGCTGGCAGCCTCCCCTCATTGTCCTGTTTTTGGAGTAAATGAGTCAACTGAACTTTACCTCATTTACTGTAATAGGTTCCCTGCCTTACGAAAAAAAAAACACTTTAGGTGCCGTTTGTCACCTTCTCGGAATAGATTTAAATGTGCATAACGTGCTTTCTTTTTGGGCTTTGTCTTTCGGCCACAGCGACGGGAATATTGTTGACGCATTGCAGGAAATCGTCAAAAGTTAAAAGAGGTTTAACTGTTGAAATCATTCGTCGGTAGATTTTGACTTTCCTAAATTCACATTAAGAAAATACGCCGCTTTTTTGGATTACACTACAGATTATTTACAATTCATCTATCAAATTCGTCCTGTTGCGTCTTTCTTTTATTTCTCATAAACAGATTAGTCGTAACCGGTTATGAAGGAAGAAATTCAGAAAAACTATACGATTCTCGGTCAATCCTTCAGCATGGGTGCGCAACATTGTCAAAGCTCTTGACTTTACTTGAGTGTTTAGAATAGGTTCTGAACGGCCGCTCTTCTAGCTTTCGCTATGACTGTGCTGCGCCTTCCGCGCAGGCCTGACGTTTTTCTTTTTTTTTTCGCTCCACAAGTTACAAACAATGTTCTTTCTCGCTTTGTTGTGCATATATTTTATACACAAGACGTCTTTTTTGTAACGTTAATACTTCTAATACATTAGAAACTTTTGAGAACCAGTGGGGATCAAATTAGTCCTTCCATGTAGATTAGGTTCAATATTTCTTGTCTCGTAATTAATGCGCTTGAAAAACAGAGTTCTTCTTCGGGCTACTGGGCGCTGTGTGCATAATACACTAAATACTGAATGAAATCTAAAATAGTAATATTAGGATTCGTAATGATTAATCTAGAATGCCCCCTTTCGGCAGTGGCGTATCCAGGGGGTGGTATACCAGTTGCCGTCCTCCCCCCTCCCCCCGTCCACTGAACTTTTTTCCATAAAACTGCCATAAAATGGTCGTTTACCTGCCTGGCCCTCCCTCCAGCTCAATGTCCGCCCCCATCCCTCCTTCTGGAAACAATTTCAGCCTACACCTCTGCTTTGCGATAACCATTGTTAGGAGCCTAATTTTGGATATGTCTGATGTGTGTAGTGGTCTTCATGAATTTTTGTTTAAAAGGAGCTGTAGCGAGAAAACTAGCCAGCGATGGTAGCGAGAAACAAAATTACTTTTTTTCTTCGCTTGTTTGACATTTCGCGTATCGTATTCTTTTTCATGTTTTTTTCTACCAATGCCACGCCTTTTGTTCATGATATGCCTAATTCCGTTTATGCAGGCTCTCAATTGGTAGTTCACCTGTAGAGTGGTTTAGCTACTGGCTGTCTCCTGGATGGGCCAGGATTCTACAAAATGGGGCTTTTAAATTGGGCTCAAAGTGTACGAGGCCGAACTGGTGCAATTTGAAATAGTGGTCGTTCACCACGTTGAATGTACTCTTTTGTTACTCGAACTTCCAGACGTTGCTTTTATGCTGCCGTGGGTTCTCGGAGACCATGCCCAAGCAACCACTTTAGTTCTACAAGAATATATTTGCTTCCCACACGTACGAAGCATGACACTCAGCACGCGGTGTGGCGTAAACCAGTCCATACACTTTCCTTTCGGGCAGGCTGTTTTTCTGTCTCAGAAAGGCTCAGATGCCAGCAATCTACCTGATACACATCATTTCCACAAAAAGTATGTTTCTGCTGTTTATCATGGCGGATTCCGCGGATTTTTTCAGACTGCCCTTTCCACGTGGATTAGGTTCATTTCATGAATTTCTATCTTCAATACCTACAAAAAAACAAACAAACGATATACGCCAAGCTTTCTTCGTTAAAGCCTGCAGGTAGACAGCTGAACGACGCTGCGACAAAAAATTATCGGCGTGAGCTTGGAGAAAATGGCACCTACAAGATGAAATATTTACGGGTAACGTGACACGGCACGTCATACCGAAAAATTGGAACTAAAGTATATGTTACCTGTTGCAGTTCTAAAATTGTATCAGTACGTTACTAAGTTACCGAAAAAAGTAACGCGTTACCGGTAATGGCAATACTTGCAACACGTTACCGCCAGCACTGCTGAACACTTATACTATGCCGTCGCCTCTCTGGAATTGACGAGCGTCCCTTTATCAGCAATGGCGCCATGTCATGTTCAAATTTGGCCGCCTACAAAGCACTTACGTAGACTGACGGAGAATTTTCGTGACCAGTGAAAAGTACTGAGGTACAAACGCTGTCTTGCTTATGGTCAAAATTTCGTCACTGCACCTGCAAAAACGATTGGACAGAAGAGAGGCAGGCTGATTGTTTTTCAAAAAGGAGGACCTGCGACGCGTGAAGCGCTTAAATATTCGTAAAAGGTGATAGCTGCGAAATATTGTACGAGAGAGAGAAGGAATGTAGGAAAAGTAGGGAGGTTAACTAGACTATGCGTCCAGTTTGCTACCCTACACATGGGGAGGGGGAGGGGGGAGTAAAAGAGAGAGAGAAGGATAGACACATGTCACATCACACACACTATGCCGAGTTTCACAGGTGGTCCCTCAATGAAGTTGCTTGCTGACAAGTATCTCAGGAGGGCTCGTGTGGCTTTCTGTGCTGATGTGGTGCATGACCAGACTCCTAAGATCTTTGCTTCATTAAATGACCGGTCATCGAGTCTATTCAAGGCACACTGGAGAGTCCGGCGATCTTCATCAAATTGGGCACAGTGGCACAAGAGATGTTCAATAGTCTCTATACAGTTGCAGCTTTCACACATGGATGAATCCGCCATGCCAATGCGATGGCTGAATGACTTAGTAAACGCTACCCCAGTCCACAGCCGGCATAGCATTGTAGCGTCACGTCGAGAATCTTGGATGGCAGTTGTTTCTGACGTAAGGACTTAAGATTCTTAGAGTGATGAATGGAGTTAAGTGGAGAATTCCAGTGCGCAAGCGTGGCATTATGCGCGATGTGACGAAGTTCTCTAGCTGCAGTCTACTCTTGACAAGGGTATTAACAGTGTGGGCGCTCCATCGTGGGCACATCGGACAGCGTCGTCGGCGAGGTGGTTACCACTGATGCCACAGTGGCCCGGCAACCATTCTAAAACAATGTCATGCCCTTGATCAGCAGCGCGATGACAAATTTCATTAATACGATGCATCATCTGGTGGTAGTTTCCACGTCGTAGACTTCGCACGCATTGAAGGGCTGCCTTGGAGTCACAGAAAATGGCCCATCTACTGGGGGATTCTTGTGTAACAAACTCCACAGCGGCTCGAAGAGCGGCGAGCTCGGATCCCGTAGATGTCGTGACGTGTGATGTCTTGAATTTGACTGTGATTGATCGAGATGGTATGACAAAGGCACCTGTCGAACTTCCCGAGACCGAACCATCCGTGTAAACATGAATTCGGTTAGCATACGAGAAATGCAAGAGGTCCAGTGAGATCTGCTTGAGGGCTGCAGATGACAGGCTTGCCTTTTTAGATATCCCCGGCACTTCAAGGTGCACAGTCGGTATTTTCATGCACCACTCTGGAGATAGTGGTATGGTTGCGGGCGAAAAACTCCATGAGATGGAATTCTGGTTAGCCGCAACAACTTTGGAAAATATTGTAAATTAGCGAGCTTGTTTGCGGGTGCAAAAAGAGAAACGTGCGAGCCTCTTTAGAGGCCCGTTAACAGCCAGATTTAAGATGACACGACGAGGTGAACTCGAGCACTTGCGGTTAATAGTCGTTGTACCAAACTGTCATGCCGCATTTTCATCCTTCAATATATACGTCAACCACGCTGCTGCAGTTTTTTTTTCAAAGTGCGAGTGCTTTGTTGCATTTGGCGTTAAAATGTTTAACGCTCAATTCGTTCTGCAGGTGCCGACGTTCGCATACGAGAAGCGGCTGTCCCGCATCGAGACGCTCCGCCTGGCTATTATGTACATAGCATTTATGACAGAAGTGGTCGGCTGCTCCAAGGATGACTCTGAGCCGTGCGCAGAAGACGCCCTCGTGGCACCGTCAAACGGCGGCAGCGTCGCCGGCTTTCCTGGCCACCACCATCATCACCACCAGCTCACCGGGGACGTACCGCTAGAAGACGCGGCCCTCTGGGGTCCGGGAAGGCAGCTAACCGTGGCCACGGGTGCCGGCACCCTCGGCCAGTTGTGCCCATCATCGAGACAAGTGTGACCTCTGACGCTGCTGGAACCGGGGGCTTACGTGTTTCCCAGGTGAAAGGGAACTGCCTCTGTGGCCAGCAGCTGTTGCGATGGAACGAGTGAAACCAACGCACTAGTTTTCGCTGTTGTTTGGGCATGAGACGCGACAGTGCTGTGGCTGAACAGAAACCTCTGTCCCTCTCATAATTGAGATGCATTTAAAGGACAGATTGGCAATGTGTCGCGGCTCCATCAACAGTGTGGTATAAAACACTGGGTTACAACAACATTGCGCTTTGTTGCAATCGTGGAACCACTAAGTCGCACAGCCCCTGTTGTAGTGACGCCAAATTTGTCAGAACGAGGCAAAGTTTGTCAGCTAGCACGCTTTTTTTTGTCATGCCATACCATTATTGGTGATCAAGCGCAACATGTTGCGATAATTAGATACGATGCTTCAGAGTGGCAAATCATGCGCTTACAATTGAAGCAAGTGCATTCGTAATTCTGCTAGTCATGATGTTCCTAGTAAAAAAAAATGTTGTATATTTGTCGAGCTTTGATGTGTAATCCTGATGTGTACAGTTGGGGTACATAATGTGCAGGTGAATGGTTGGCTCAGTGGTTGACTTGACATAATGAAGCCCAAGGAATGTACGCTTCAAACACACTACACAGCAATTTCCTCATTGAAAGTCTACTTGAAGAAACTTGTCGCATTTATGTTCTTTAACAAACTTGTCGCATATGTGCGCCCTTACTTATCTGTTTCCTGTGGTCTCGGTAGCATGGGGATGCACTTTAGTAGTCTGAAGCATTCGAAAGTACTTGGAGTTTCGAGAAAGTTTTTAATTGTAAATACAATTTGTATAGCCATGAAATACAGTGGACCATCAGTCTTCGTTTTTATTATTTGCTGCTGACGTTGCATCTCAGTCCACGTCTTTCGCGGAGTAGACATTTTGCAAAGTATTCTTTTAGAACTAGTTTAATTGAACTTTTCATTTGTTGAAGGAAAATTTGTTGTGCATTCAGAGAGTTCACACTAACAATTCACACTGATTTATCATATTGTAAATATTGTTCTGGTATATGAATATAATTTTGATCATGTGCAATCAATAAAACGTGGTTTTGGCCAAAAGTCAAAGCACTCGTCAAAACAGCATGCTATCTGTCTCGGTTTGTTTATCACCCCAGTCCAGTAAGATGGATCAGTGGTTACAAGACTCGGCAGTTCATTCCGATGATCATGCGCTTAATCCCGGCAATGGCGGTCGCATTTCAGTTAGGACAAAAAGGTAGATGCCCTAGTGCTGTACATTAATGGTGCACGCTAAGGAACACCTTGATGTTCGCAATTCCCAACGCCTTCCACTGCAGCGTTTCTGTTTGTCATGTCGTAGTCTTAGGACGAAAACTTCACCAATCATTTCTGTTTCCATCTCAGCACTTTGGAATTTCTTTTATGTCAATCTGCCAACAAGCCCATTGCGCTGCTCTTCACGAAGGTAACCGCCATGGCGGCTTCTTGGTTGTGGCGTCGCGCTTAGCACTACAGCAATGAGACCTGTTCGATTCCTGGCCCGAATGGTTCCATTTTTATCAACGCATCATGGGTGTATTTAAGCCTACAATATTGTGCCACCATATACTTCACGAGTTTTTTGATACGGTGTAGCCCACAGTCACATTGTCTCTTCTGAACGTAAAAGGCAAAACTTTCATTTCTTTTGGGGAACGTTCCCTAAAATTACAGTGTCGACTGCAGATAACCTATTCTTACACATCTATAAGGCAATTCTCTTTAAGCAAGTGTGGTTCGTTGTGACAACTATAAGCTTTGGCTAAGCAGTGACAAAACACACATAATACATCACTTACATTACTTCGCTGCCGACACAAAAGCCGTGGCGTCGACCCTGATCGCGGTGGTCGCCTTTTGATGTCCTGAAATGCAAGTGGCGCGTATACTTCATTTTAAGTGAATACTAACGAGCTAAATGTGGTCACTAGATACGGAGCCCTTCACTACGACACGCCTTATAATAGTTTCGTGGTTTTGGTTGGTAAGCTTGCAGAAGTGGTATGTCATTATTAGAACACACACACATTAACTCACCATTCCTTCAGTTTCATTTTTACATGATGGCTCTAAAGCCTGGCTAATTGTAAAAGCTAGGCGATGCGCTTATTCGTATTAGCAACAGCACGTGGCCAAAGTTTCCTCTACCTTCTCCAGCAGCCCATTTTTTTTATTTGACGTAGGTTTCACTGGGCTTCCCTACCACTACACCCGGGGAGGCAGTTTAGTTCATCCGTACGTGGCCCCCTTGCCTAAAATGCTTGTTGGACCCCGCTTTTTTGTCATTATTCCTAAACAAATTTCTTGAACATTTAATACGTGTGTATATAGTAACGACTTATTTTCTTTTCACATGCGCATTGGAAACTGTTTTTGCTGCTGCATGCTCCTCTCCTACACACACAATTTCTCCAGGCCATCATCGACGCTCCATCTTTCTTTAGCAAATATGAATTAAAGGTGTGTTTTTTTTTCACGCACAAATTTAAGTGAAACGCTCTATGTCGGGAAGTCATAAACCACTGTGATACCTCTGAATCATAGTTTTTAGTGTTTTGGGTGAATACCTAGTCAGAGAGGCGACAGATTTAGGGCATCGCTCGGCAGCGAATTATGCACTCATTCAAGAAAAGTTTCTATATTCCTAAGCTATTACTGATGCATTGCCAGTTCAGCTATCATACATTATATTATTAGTATTTCCTGGCAGTGACTGCGGTGGTAGTGAAATTGACTATGTAGGCACCTAGTGAATGATTTCTAACATAAACTGTTGGTATATATGTTGCTGAGTTGTTATATACTACAGTAGCAAACGCGTAAGAATATTAGCACTACTCAGAGTTAGTGCATTACAAGTACTCGATTACTCGCGCTGTCGTAAAAACTCTTTCGTGAGTGGGTGGCAAATCTACCTGAATCGTCAGCAGTGATATATATATATATATATATATATATATATATATATATATATATATATATATATATATTGTAACGGAGAGAAAAGAGACAACACCTGATTCTGGGCCAGCTGTTCTTATTCTGCCTCTTCTTCCTCGCTTTCCAGCCCATGGCCCACAGCTGCCGCGCCGCTCTTCGATACATTAGGCCACACTGCGGACCTGACAACAAAAAAAAAGAAATTACAGTTCATTGCACCTGCAGCGGTCCGACTGCTTTTTTCAAGCGCGACTCATGCACGGCAAAGTTATTTCTTTTGCGTTTATCCAGAGTGAAGTTCGCATCTGAGGTGTTCACTCGCCAAGTATTTTCTCCTACACGCTGAGTAATTATGAATGGACCCGTCGAACTTAGGGAGTAGCTTCTTGCCAGGCCCGCTGGTGCCCCTTTGCACCCAGACCTCGTCACCGATGTTGTAAGCAGGAGCGGGTCTACGGCGTCTGTCATAGTGGCGCTTTTGATTTTCTCGTGCGTGGGTGGCTTTCTTGATCGCTTCAGTTTGGATCTTCTGACAGGCCGCTTTGCGATCGTTGGCACGTGGAATTATATTGAGAGCATCCAGACTGAGGGCCACTTTCAGCTCTGGTAGTTTCCCATAAACAATTTCGTAGGGCGTTTCCCCGGTAGATGTCTGCAGTGCCGTGTTAATCGCAAAAGCGGCTCATGGAAGGTGGACGTCCCTAGTCGGCCTCTCCTCTTTTCCCTGCCTTTGTATATGGAGCGAGTCGTGCCTTGATGCTCTGGTTGGTTCTCTCAGTAAGGCCGTTTGCTTGAGGATGAAACGCGGATGCGAAGTAGTGCTGCACGCCTGCCGCGCAAAGGTACTTTTTCAGTTCCCCGCTACGAAACGTTGTAGCCCGATCAGATATTAACATTTTTGGTAAACCATGTCTCCATTCAAATCGGTGCTTGAGGAAGTCGATTAGGTAAGTGGATGCAAGAGATAGCACGGCCTCCACTTCCACGTATTTTGACAGGTAGTCTACTGCTACAATGACGTAACGATTTCCCGCAGTGGAGGTGGGTAGAGGTCGCATGTAATCAATGGCAATTGTGTGGAAAATTGTTTCGGGTATCTGGATTGGTGTTAGTAATCCAGGTTGACACCCAGGAAGTCGCTTAAACTGCTGGCAAATTTTGCAACTGGCGACATAAGGACGGACGCTACTTTGCATCTTCGGCCACCAAAAACGTTGCTTGTAGTTTCCGGAGTGTGGCTCGTTGGCTGGTGTGTCCACCTATTGGGGAGTCGTGAATGGCTCGCAATATTTCTGACCTGTAGGATTTCGGGATCACCAGGAGGTAACGTTCTTCGGATCGGTCCGCTCGCCAGTGACGCCGGTACAATGTGGCATTGCGCAACACAAAAGTACTGTGATTTCCCTTGCAGTGATAGATGCAATAATGGATGCCAAATCTTTATCCTCCTGTTCGGCTCGGGATATATTCATCTGGGCGAAAAAAATGTGGGTTTGCCTGGTTTGTTGCGCGCAGTCAAGGTGGTTCCGTGAGAGTGCATCGGCGACGTTGTTTAGCCCTCAGTTGCGGTGGCGCACGTCAAAACCGTGTTCTTGCAGCGTGATTATCCACCGGGCAAATTTGTGTTTAAGTTGCTGCTTGGCGAACATCCATGCTATAGCAGCATTATCAGTTACAACAGTGAACTTACGCCCGAAAAGATAATGTCGAAACTTATCATCGACGCTCCATACCACTGCAAGACATTCAAGCACGTTGGAGTGATAGTAGCGCTCGGTGTCTGAAAGTTTTCGGCTGGCATAAGCGACCACGTGTTCCACGACATCTGGATCACGCTGCACTAACACAGCTCCTAGGCCAACTTGGCTAGCATCAGTGTGCACTTCGGTGGACCAGTCTTCATTGAAGTGACTTAGTATGGGGCAACAAGTGAGCTTTTGTTTTATAGCTCAAAAACCATTTTCTTGTGAGACGCCCCATCAATACGCGCCTCTTTTTTAAGAAGACCGCTCAAGGAAGCTGCGATCGAAGCGAAGTGGGGAATAAACCTTCGCAAATACAACGCCATACCCAGAAATGACTGAACCTGCTTCAAGCAGGTTGGTGTGGGATACTGCGACACGGCAGCTATTCGCTCCGTGAGTGGCTGAATGCTGACAGATATCTTATGTCCCAGGTACGAAATCTTGGACACCCCAAACTGGCATTTCTCTTTGTTCAATTGAAACCCTGCTGCATAGAGTCTGTGTAGTACTTCGTCCAAATTGCGAAGGTGTTCATCCTCCGTCCTGCCAACGGACCAGGATGTAGTCTAAGTACACCACACAGGCTTGGTTTTTCAATGGTCCGAGCACTGAATTCTTCGCACGCTGAAAAGTGCTAGGAGCCGTTGTTAGTCCAAACGGCATGCGGTCTTCCTCGCTTTCCAGCCCATGGCCCACAGCTGCTGCGCCGCTCTTCGTTACAATATATATATATATATATATATATATATATATATATATATATATATATATATATATATATATATATATATATATATATATATATATATATATATATATATATATATATATATATATTGTCACGCAGTGTATTTACGTACAGACCTACTGGAAGGCCGAGGAACGCCAGAAGAGCGAGGAACGCCAACAGGCCAAAAATACAAAACAAACGCAAGCTCGGGTCGCGCGTGTGTACCAATGCTGTGGCTTGGCGTTTCATGCTGCTTCGTCGTCGTTCGCATAGTTCCCTACATTGGCCCCCGGTGAATAGCGTAGCCAACCTGGCGACTTAAGACGTAGTGACTATAGCGGGGTCGTAATACGGCTTCAGGCGACTGACATGCACAATTTCTCGGCCACGACGGCGTAAGTCATGAGACGTTGTCAAAGGCTCAATCTCGTAATTGACTGGTGACGTACGGGCGAGAATGCGGTAGGGCCCGTGGTATCGTGCCAGTAATTTCGACGAAAGGCCAGGAGTGCTCGGTGAAATCCAGAGCCAAACGAGAGCACCAGTCCTGAAAGTAGAGAGATGTCGGTCGGTGTCATGCCGTAGCTTCTGGTGGCCTTGGTTCTCGGTTGTCAGTGAACGGGCCAATCGTCTGCAATCTTCTGCGTACCTGGCAACATCAGAAA